AATGTGCTTGACACAATGGATGTATGTATGGATTGTGATAAGAATTGTATGAGCTCCCAATAAAATTATTTTTTTAAAATTAAAAAAAAAGATTTAGAAAGAGAGAAAAAATAAAAATAAAAGGAGCCCTGACAATGTAGTGGTTAAGCACTCAACTGCTAAGTAATTTTAGTCAAAAGGTCAGCAGTTCAAACCCAGTAGCCTCCCCGGAGAAAAGACCTGTGGATCTTTATCTGTACTGAGGAGAATCCATAGGGCAATTCTACTGTGTCATGTATAGTCATTATGAATTAGAATTCACTCAAAATTCCAACTCAACCCAACATTCCACTGTCAAATAAATTCTGGCTGAGTAGAACTGCCACACAGCATTTAGAAGGTTGTAAATATTTTTGGAAGCAGGTTGCCTCATCTTTCTCCCATAGAATGACAGTCCATTCAAATTACTGATCTCCCAGTTAATAGCTGAGCTTTTTATGACTCAAAGGCAACAGGGAATGAGTATACAAGGCTCATATATTAAGAAATATAGAAAATTACTTAATACTGGTAATCTTGGGGTACAAAAGAGATCCGTCTCTGAGTTTCTAAAATTTTGTAGGTAAGTCAAAACAAATGAAGATGGTTCGTGTTTAGTCTTACATTATTTATTTATTATTTTTTTTCAGAAACAAACAAGTGTACTCTTAGTTTAACCGCATAAATCTGAAGCCATAGTGCAAGCAGAGGGTACAGCTTAAGTTTGCAGAGTCACATTTTACATCTCTCAATTATCAATAATAAAAACATTTCAATCAACTATGTTAGAAGAAAGACTAAATTCTCATTCTGCATCTACTAGGAATATGTTAGCATAGAATTATAATCATATGAAAAGAAAAAAATCATTAGGAAAAAAGTTTTTCATTGATTTGTTTTACAGTTTCTTTAGAGTACTCCTATTCTCCCGGAGTGTGCAAGCTTTTCAGCAATTTGAAAACTACACACGCCATCAGTGAAGATAATAGTGATGAAGACTTGGTTGTGAGTAGGAATTGATTCAATCATTGTAAAGTGTGGACAGATTTACACAACATTAAAAACAAGTAGGAGTTGTCCATAGCTTGGATGTTCACAATCCAGGGACTACCTGTAATCCATAATCTCAGAGAAAATAATTTTAAAACATCATTTAAAGTCTCTATGACCTATTGATAACTATCTTAAAATCTATATGCAAATCTTTTTTCTCAAAATTGGTTATGTCATTGAAATTTTATATTTTGTGTTTTTTATTTAAGGTTTTAATTACTGCATATTATTAGTTTTTCTTTGAAAACATGATTTTCAGTAAATAATGTGGTATTTTACTTCACAGTTGAATTTATTTTCTTGAACATTCCCCAGTTTAGAATTTTGCATTGCTTTTAACATTTTATTAAATATGTTGAATTTTTATATATTATCTTCCTAATAAAATTGCTGGTTTTGAAATTTAAGATTCAAATAGAAAGAAATGTTTTTGAATTGTTGGTGGCAACATATGTACCAATGTGCTTGATACAATCGATATATGGATTGTTACAAGAGCTGTAAGAACCCCCAATAAAATGATTTACTAAAATTAATAAAAAGAAATTTAAGATTCAAAGAGACTGAATATTTTTAAATTGATATAAAAAAGGAAGTAATTTACACAACCAAAGGCAGTGTAATAAGATTTTTCATGCCTTCATACTCTTATCCACAATGGATATTATTTTTTTCTTTCAACATATTTTATATAAATAATCAATTTAAATTTTGCATATCTAAATTTTGTTTCATTTTTGTTTTTGTAGTATTAAATGGAAATACTACTGGGATTTATTGGTTACCTAAAATTTAAAAATTATTTTCATATTCTTAACCTATTTTAACATTTAGTTTTTAAAAAGTTTATTTCAATGGCTATTTTAAAATTTAAAGATATTATATGTTATAATAAAAGTTATAAATATTTTCTTGTTTTGTTATATTTCAGGAAATACAAAAATGTTAACAAGCATTTTTCAAATCTTTGAGAATAGAGTTTGTTTTATTCTTTATATTAACCTGTTTTTTCCTATCTGGAATTTATTTTTCCAATACTCTTTATTGTGAATTGGATGATGGTTACAGAGTGGATTATCAGTGTTGCAAATAACAATTCAGTCACTTTGTTTCAACTCATTGTCCTGATCCTCTCAATCTAGCATCACTTTTCCCACTTCCTTTCTGTGCTTTCTGATTCCTTCCTCCTTCTTTGCTAGCCCTCTGAACTTTGTCTTTGAGTAAACACTGCCATCTTGAGCTACAATAGTTGATTATTCTAACTAATGTGAGAGTGAAGTCAGATCCAGTCTGAAAGCTGAGTAAGGGTCATAGTGTTAGAGTTTCATCAGTCTCTACTTAATCAGCAAACATGGTCTCTTTTAAGATTTTGAGTTTTGTTCCATAATTTTCTTCCATTCTATCCAGGACCTTAAAATACGACATTTTTCAGAGAAGTTAGTGGTAGCTGGGCATCATGTATTGCTTTTGGTCTCTGGTTCGCAGAGACTGTTGTTCATGTTGTCTATTGGTCCACTGGATTCATTGTTCCCATGTGCCTTTTGAATTTCATCAGCTTTCCTTCCTCCAGACAGCGAGAGACCAGTAGTTCCTGCTTGACGGTTGTTGATAAGATTTTATGACCCAAGTTGCTGGTCACCAAAGTAGGATGTGGAACATTGTTCTTTATGGATAATGTTGAACTGGGAGGGGTTCCCTAAGACTGTGGTCCTGAGACTCAGTCCCAATGACATTCCCTCAAGGTGTGGGTTTATATTTATGAAATTTTAATAACTTTTCCCCTTGTATGCTCTACCATGTTCATGGGTGTATTTGCAGCAATGGTAAATACACATATAAAAATATTCCCTGTGAAACATGTATACTCCCAGTCGCACACCTGCTCGATTTGCGGGGCTATCCAAGCATCTACTTGCAGATCATTACTACCTCAATATTGTGTAAACAACAGTATTTGCCTCAGTTGCCTTTATTTCTTGCAACCTCCAAGTAACTTCCTTTGTCTTCATCATTTTTTGCTAACCTCCTTCTAGTATATTAAGTTGTTATGTTGTATGAAGAGTGTATTATTTTTCTTCCTTCCTTGTTTCCTTTCTACTTATTCAACCAACATTTTGTTAAATGTTTAAAGCTTGTTTTCTGATCTAAGAGGAGCAAAATTCCTGGGAATATGGTTTCAAGCTTGTGTCTGCATATGCATACAGACCCACACACACAAACAAGAGAAGGATCGGGCACACGAGTGAGGGAAAATAATTTAAAATGCTAGACGTTGATGGATAACCAAAAGTGGGACTTTAAGAGGAAGTGTGTAGTAATCGCTAATCAAATCAGGCCTGAAGGGATTCTATAGTTTTGTTAACTACTTAAATCTGTATCTTCTCTGGGCCCACTTCCTTTGCAAAGCATGGTCTTCTTGAGAGCTGCCTTTACATCACGGTTCCTCAGGCAGTAAATGATGGGATTGAGGAGGGGGACAAGGATAGTATAAAGCACAGAGACTACTTTGTTGGAATTGTAAGCATACATGAGCTTGGGGCGGGCATAGGTGAAAAGGGTAGTGGAATAGAAGAGAGTTACAACTGTCAGGTGAGAAGCACACGTGGAGAAGGCCTTTTGGCGGCCCTGAGCAGAAGGAATCCTGAGAATGGTGGTGAGGATGGTGACATAGGATGCCACTACGACACAAAGGGGAACAGCAATGACCATGAGTGCCAAGAAAAAATCCACCAACTCAGCCTGTGAGGAGTCCTCACAGGAAACATTGAGGAGCGGAGAGATATCACAAAAGTAGTGGTTAATATGAGGTGTGCCACAGTAGTAGAGCCGGGCTATGAAAACCATCTTAATCATGGCGGTCATGAATCCACAGAGCCAACATCCCCCAGCTAGGATCCCACAAAGCTGGTTGGTCATGATGACTGGGTAGCGTAGTGGATTACAAATGGCCACATAACGGTCAAAGGCCATTACAGCAAGGAGTATGTACTCTGTGCAGACACAGGTCACAAAGAAGTACAGCTGAGTCATACAACCATTGAAAGAAATACTCTTGTCAGAGCTAAGGAAGTCTACCAGCATCTTGGGGCTGATGACTGTGACATACCACATCTCTAGGAAAGAAAGGTGGCTCAGAAAGAAGTACATGGGCTTGTGCAACTGCGCATCGCTGCGAATGGCTAGGATAATCAGGAAGTTCTCCAGCAGCGTCAGCAAGTAGGTTGCCAAGAAAACAGAAAAGAGGAGCAGCTGGAAGGCAGGTCGGGTGGGAAATCCCAGAAGAATGAAATATGTTGTTGCCGTAAGGTTGTCTGCCTCCAGAACCTTGGGGATGATCACTGGCTGTGGACACAAAGAAAGTTACTTCCTCCCATGGCCCAACCCTCACCTTAGTAATTATTAACAACGATAAAGACCAAGACCATTGAATTCATTGCCAGAATAGTTTTTATCTCTTTACCTTTATCTCCTCTGGATTTATGATAAAAAATAAAACACTTTGGAGCAAAAATGGAATATCAGAAACTTATAGCTTAATTTTGAAAATTAGGACAAGAGGGGTCACTTGTCGAAAGTCCCACAGAAGTAAATTTAGAATCTCATCACTCCTAAGGTGTGTATTTTCCTGACTGTATCACTGTTGAAAATTGTAAAATTATCTCTCTATCTATAGCCAGAGCATCTCCACTTACTGGATATAAAATGGAGATAGGACACTTAACTTCTGATTTCCCAGGTATAATTTTATTATTCTAAATAAGTTGCGTGACCCAACTTATCTGTTAAATGTAAAGAATCCTCCTTTCTTTTACCTATCTAACATGGTTGAGGAGTTTGAAGAAAGTAATACGGCAGTTGAGTAAATGCACATATTTAGAAGCAACAACAAAGTTTAATTTTAAAAGTTGCCAGCTTCTCTGTCATTTCAAACCTTCCTCTGCGACCTGCTGTTAGACTTCTCTTTTCTGTATTCCAACACCAAAGCCACTCTTTTTTCCCCAAAATAACTTTATTGGGAGCTAATAAATATCATAACAGTCCATAGTTCCATTACATGAAGCAATATAGTACAATTGCTACCACAATCAGCTTCAAAAGATTTTCTAACTTCTTCAACTTCTTGAAATCAGCCTCCATTTACTCCACCCAAACCCTCACCCATTGTAGCCCCCAGGAACCCTTATTCTAATTGTCATCTCTACAGGTTTCCTAATACTGGAGTTCATATAGTGTAAGACAGAGAAGCATAGCAAAATTCAAGAAGGTGACCCACAACGACAAAATATATCAGAGAATAACCATAATAAGAAAACAAAACCAAAAACCCAGAACATATTGAAAACTAGATCAGGCACAAAGGGTACCATAGGCTGAATCAATGACAAGGTTTTAACCATTCAAATCAGGCTTATCATTTTGACCCATAGTCATCTCTCCAGTCATCTCTGTTAGGTAACTGATTTATTCTCATCACTCAATTACAGATAGGGGGAAATCACCAGAGGCTTATTTCCTGTGTAGATCTTAACAAATGTAAATTGGATTTCTGCTGTCACCCAGAACCTTCTGTGAACCAGAACCTCACAAATTTAAGCTCTGATACTATTCTCTTCTTAGCATTGGATTGTGTAATTTACAACCCTTGGGTCACAGATGTTGATGTGCTTTTTCCATGTGGACTTAGTTGACATCTCACATCTTAGATGGACACTTGTGTTTAGCCCCAGACAGTATTCTCTCTCATAGCTGGGTACCATCTAATTTTTTAGCCACCCCACTCTTCTACAGCATCTGAGGGCGAGTATCCAGCAGGGCCACATTGTAAGAACTAATTTTTCTTAAATTGGAGCTAGGATGTAGTGTGAAACCAAAATCCACTCCAGGATCTATATTTTTTATCAGCCTCTGGCTCTCTTTCTGTGTGGCATAGATATGTGGGCACTTGGGGGAGGGCTACCATTTGTCAAGGAAGTGGTCATCAGAAGAAAGGGCTGGCAATCAACAGGCTGTGGTATCTTCACCTCGCTCCCACTTAGATCTCAGTTTTAGGGTCCTGATGAAAATCAAACCCACCAACTGTCAATGTTTCACATTTTGAGACGAAAACAAAGATACGGATCATTCAAAATGGCAAATAATTTATAAATGTAAATATATCTAATGATTCTTGTATATGGTGGAGTAGAGGCCCTGACACACACATCCTACAAAGCTCAGCCCTGCTGGCTGAGACCTCGAGTTCTCTGGACAGTGGAGTAATGGAATTTACACGGAAACTGAAAAGGACATTAGTTACAGTGGCTGATGCAGACATTATCTGATCTTTCCCCCCATATTGCTCTCTTTTAATCTCAAAGACTGGGAGTCTTAACCAATTTGAATCTGTTTGAAAATAATTCAGTCCCTCTCTGTATTCCTCTCACTTCATAGCCATACTTTCAAATGGACAGATACAATGAACAGGTTTGCAATTGAGGAATAGCATTTTGTCATGTGTCCTTAGTTTAAGGGATTTGTCTTATGAAAAGTGTTCTCGGGTCAGTCCCTTTGTGCACTTTTATATTCCATAAAAATACAGATATGGCATTATGCCCTGAAGTTTTCTAATCTCCATGGTTCCCTAACATTAAGGTTTCAAGACTGACTATGAAAAATAATGCAACATATATTTAATAACTTGGAAATAGATATTGGTAATCTCAGAGTAAAAGCTTCTGATTTGAAATGAGAATTTTTTTTAAATGCACCAAATTTTAAGACTAAGAATTAGTAAATGAAATGGAAGGATATTTTCATAGGCCTATATTTTAATTAGTTTTTCTTCTACTTCATCAGATATTTAATTAAGTTCCTTGGACAAGTTAGCACAAAAAAAATTAAATAACCCAATCAATAATCTACTAGATAAGTTAGCACAAAAGTCCCCCCAAAAAGAGTATACAATTTATATAAAGAACATCTGCCTGATCAGTTTTATCAATGAGCACGGAACTTAGATTTGAACATTCTAGTAGTCAAGTAAAAAAGAAAAATGGTTGGAAGTACATGATGACCACATTTCATCCTGAAAATTCTCCTGTTCAATTGAACCAAGTTATAATTGCTTTAGGATAAAATGAATGTACAAGAAGGTCAAGTGTTCTGCCAAATTCGACAATAAGACAATAAGATCAATTGTCTTATTGCAGGCAATACGATCTAGTTTCCAAATCTCTTGGATTTTACTGTTCAAGTCCCATTTCCTAGTAGCTTCCAAAACTGTTTAGAAGAGATAATCCATCTGGTAGATGGTATATGAGGACCAGAGAGAGAGTCAGATATTGAACATATTTCCCTTCAATGGGAGCTCCTCATGCAGCTCCCTGAGGAGGCTGTTGTGACTGCCGTCCAACATCTTCACAGACAGAGATGACACCTCCATGTGAATATCACTTTATAATGTGTCAAAGCACACGTCTTTCATTTAGTACTCGTAATCAAGGTGTTCCTCTCTTCCCGCCATTGAGTTAATTCTGAGAAGGATGTTAACTAGGATTAATATTATGGTGCCCACTGGATCTAAATATTAATACTATTTAGTTCAAAGTCACATATATATATATTTAATTAATGCAGAATTGAAATTAAATGCCCACAATTCTTTTTTATTCCCCACCACTTTTTACTTTTTGTATATGAGTCAAATACAGATAATTTTTGAGTTGAATGAGATTTTCAAATTAGTTGAATTTACTTCCCCTCTGAGCATTAAACTATACCTTTGGAAACAAATTTTTAAAAGAACCTTCTATAGAGTATAAAATATAGTGAGTGAAGAATCAAAGATCTAGAATTCAAGCCAAGATCATGTGGAAGATCCGAGCATCTTAAATCTCAAACATCTTTCCTAGTAGCAATTTGTAAATGGAAACCTTTCACTCCCTGGCAAAATTTAATCTCTGTTTATTTTGGACACTCCACTCAGTATAATTACTTCTGCCCTATTAATGAAAGATCTAAAAAGAATCAAGTATTATAAATGTTAGATTTTTTAATAGATCACTCTGTTTCATGTGCATTTTATAATCGTGATTTTTATTAGCTTTTATAGCTGTCAGTGCATTGTATTAATTACACACACACATGCACTGCATGCATACACACACTTCACTTACCAAGTAAAAGGGAAAAGTTGACCTCTGGATATACAGCATCTCAGAGCTGGAAAAAAACCTGCTAAACCATGTGGTTTAACTTCCTATCAGATTTGTGAGTTGTCATTGCGTAGCTTTAACTAGGGACTCAACCTTAGCTTGAACCTTTCCAGGAACAGCAAACTCGCTATCTATGAAGACAGTCCACATCTTTAAAGAATACTTTTATGAGGATTTGTAGGATTTTTAAATGAAACCTAGCTTTATGGATTTTATTTCTCTTTTCTGGAACTACACAGGATATGTCTCATCCATTTTCCACAGGTTAGCCTGTCAAGCTTTATAAATGTCAAAGTCATTCAATCTCTACTCGGCAGCCCTAAACTATTACTCCTGTCTCATGTCTTTCTTGATTTAGGCTAAATCAACCAATTTCCTTTATCTGTTCCCTAAGAGTATATAATCAAGTTGAGAGTCCCTCTGAAGGCTAAGGTCATTCTATTATGAGTGTTAGTAGGGAGAAATATCTGAAAGCTGTAGAAGAAGTTACTGAATGTGTTCATGGTCTGAAAGGCTTACTTTCTTTCTGAAAACCTTGAATAGGAAAAACTTTATCCTTGCAGAAATAATTTCTTTGAGAAAAATGAATATAAGACTAGTTGCAAGAAATATCAAACAACCAATCAATCAAGCAAACAGACAAAGTCACTGCCATCGAGTCCATGCTGACTCACAGTGACCCCCTGTGGGTTTCTGAGACTGGGACTAGGTATGGGAGTAGAAAGCCTAGTTTTTCTCCCCTGGAGCTGCTGGTAGTTTTGATGTGCAGACCATGCAAATCTCACCCCAGCTCAAAACCACTATACCAGCAGGGCTTCCAGTCTCAAGACGCTAGACATGTCCCAAATGCCCCACTTTTCAAACTGCGCGCGCGAGAGAGGTGAACCAGATGCAGAGTCCAAAGGATGCTCTCCGTGCCTGGCTATACTTTTTTTTTAGTACTAAAGTCCCACTCCCTGTTTCTTAGATGGCTCATTTTATACCCACCAGGATGGCATCACAATTCATCCTGCTAACAATAACTCACAGCTGAATCATAAACTCCAATCAATATCTCTACCTGACCCTCAGCGTCTTGCCCAGGGCATCAGGAAAAGGAAGGTTACTTGGTGGGAATAACAAAAGCTATGGCTGCTGTTAGGTGCCACC